AAGATTTTCCTGGGTTAAAAAGTAGTCTTATATGCCAGAAAATACTATTTATTTATACAGGCAAACCCTTTTTTAAAAAAAACACTTTGATGAAATGTTAAGGATTGTGCAAAGGTCAACACAGACATTTAGGGAGAGAAGCACTTTGATTTACCAAGCTTACCTGTTTAATTTGCATGTAAAGAAAGAATTGTGAGAGCCACATATCTGTTGACTGCCCTCAAGTTGACCTCAACTTATGGTGACCCTACGAATGAAAGAGCTCCAGGCCACCTTGTCATCTACAGCCCTGCTCAGGTTTTGAAGACTCAGGACTATGGTTTCCTTAATTGAGTCTATCCGTCTGGAATGCGGTCTTCCTTTTTTCCTACTGCTTTGCTTTTGATGTTCCTTCCTCAGATTTTCATGCCTCTTTCCTCCAGGTTTAATCTTGCTTATGTATGACCTTCACCAAGAAAAAGTATTTATTTAGGAATTCATTTCAATCCAAGATTTGATTGAAACATGCATGCGTGGCATGGCTTTCAAATTATCCATCAACATATAGGGACCCATGGATGTCATAGGGTTTTCATCGGCAAGGAATGCTCCGAAGTGGTTTATCATTGCCTTCTTCTGAAACACAGCTTGTTGTTATTGTTGTGTGCCTTCAAGTGAAGTTTCTGACTTATGGCGACACTAAAGTGACCCTGGCATGGGGGTTTCTTGGCAAGATTTGTTCAGAGGAGGTTTCCCATTGCCTTCCCCTGAGACTAAGAGCATGTGACTTGCCTAAGGTCACCTAGTGAGTTTCATGGTGAAGCTGAGAATCAAATCCTGATCTCCAGAGTCAGTCCAACACTCAAACCACTGTGCCACACTGTATCTCATTAACCATAGCTTACAGTGCTTACTATTCCTTTGTTGTCCCCCATCTAAGTACTAACCAAGCTTGACCCTGTTTCTCTTTCAAGATCAGATAGAATCTGTTACCTTCGGGGCATTGAGGCTTTCTAAACATGTAGGTGGGCATAAATATGGGCAAGCACCAAAACTTGGAAAAAAATGCTTTTGGACTTTATAATTTAAAATCCTACTAGCCATGCTAGCTGGAGAAATCTAGGAGCTGTGTTTACAGAAAACTTTTTTAGACACAAGGTAATGTTCATACACACATACATATGCATACACATACATACATTGGTAGTACACACACCTGAATATTTTGAGTATTTGTTATGATTCACATTATTTGTTAGGTCCCATTAAGATGAATGGATTGGATCCATATTTATTAATACTTAGAGCAGACCCATGAACATCAGTACTGCTTGCAAATCATGGCTCTGCTATGAAGCAGGGTTAAGTTTGGATCCAATTCCATGAGGAAATCTTAATGACTGTTTAGTCCAAGATTATCAATTTGCTTTGGATTGAGCACAATGTTGCCACTCTAATTCTGGAAGATGATCAAGTAAGAACTAGATCCAGTGTTGATAAGAAAATTTAAAATGATCTATTAAATCATTGTATAATGAGATGATACAATAGGATTTCTTGATTATTCATTCATACTAAAATAAATCAGAGAATGACATAATGTAATATTCCACCAAAACTGTTCTTTAACAATCCTAAAATGACTTTGATGTGCAAGACTACTTCAAGATACCTAATATCATTTAAATTACAAAACATTGATAATTTAGGATGGCAAAATGTCAATGATCCAAACAAAGCACCAGCAAGTTTATATGCAAACATATGAGAAGATGCACATTTATTGAGGGAAAAGTTATTGCATCCATTAAAAAAGTTGAACAGACATAATGGAACTGATATGAGCGTATTTAAAGGGTAAAATATTAAGAGACACATTGTGGCTGTAACAGCCATTCAGCAGTGGAGCAGACTACCTTAGAAGGTGATGGATTGTCCCTTATTAGAGGTTTTTGAATCAAGAATGAATAGCCACCTTTCCACGATGCTACAGTATACCTTGACAGCAGGCTGAAGTGGTTGACCTTTTGGATCCTTTACAACTCTGTGTCTTTTGGCATATATTTTTATTTTCTTTTACAAATAGCATGTATGCTGCAAGTCTGTGTCTAACAGCAAAATGGAGAGGCAATGAAATTTCTAAAATGGATGATAACTAGTTATGGTTGAAGTTGCCTTGGTTTAATTCAGAATCTCTTCAGTATTTATGATGATTTTTTCCTATCATAAATGTAGAACACACTCAGTACACAAAGACTGTATGAGACATTTGTGTAAAATAAGCGAGAACACTGACCAAAAGAGAAAAGGCACTGAAAGGGAACCCTAATATGGTTTCATTAAAAATACGCTTGCATCTTTGAGTGTCCTGATGCTAGGGAAATTCCTTCAAAATAACAAATGGACACTATGAAGGTTACAAAGCATATTGTATTCTCTATGATCAAGAGACTGGGGAATGGGTTATATAGCAAGCACTGTGGAATGGTTGGTTATTTTACAGGAGGTTGTAAACTGACCAACTAAAGCCAAGAAATTTTATCTTCTATCAAATTAATTAGCTTCATGGAATTTTCATAGCACACACACTTTTCAGTAGTGACTTGGCAACCTTGGCAAACTATACAAGAATGTAAGATTGTGTGGCTCAGAGCTCTCATTCTTTTTGATACTGGTCTGTCAGGGTGGGGGACAGAAATGAATTTCACTTAAATAAAGTTGCAACCTTGATTCACCAGCATGGCCTGCTAATTTCCTGGTGTGGCTGGGACTAACCAAACAAATGGCTGCTTGTTCATTGCAGTCATCACCAAGAATATAATTGACATTAAGGGATCAATATGCTTATTTTTAAAATCTGGACATGTACCTTAAAAACAGCTGGACTTGAGCACCTGTTCTACTAGAGACTGTGTCCACACCAAATTCTTGTTTAACATTCTCTTCTTAAGAAATCACATCTTGAAGTGATGCTCATCTTAAATATAGATAGGGGTTATCAGATGGACATGCACATATACTGAATTCGACAATTAAAACATTACTATGAATTAGGCCTGAAATAACATATCTAAGGGCCTTTACAGACTGTCAGAAATAATGCAGCTTGAGGCCACTTTAACTGCCCTAGCTCAGTGCTAAGGAATCATGGGAATTGTAGTTTATTGTGGCACCAGAACTCTCTGTGCCACAGAAAAGGCTCAGTGTCTCAGAAAAACCTACAGTTCCCATGATTCCCTAACATTGTGCCAGGACAATTAAAGTGGCTTAAAGCTGCATTATTTCTGGCAGTCTGTAAAGGCCCTAAGTAACTAAAGGAAGAAATGAACA